AACCCATGAACCATGAGATCATGATCTGAGCTGAAGTCAGACGCACAACCCACTGAGCCACCTAGGTACCCCTATTTTTTACTTTTTTAAAATTAGTTTATTATTTTTTTTAGAGAGAGAGAGGGCATGAGCTGGGGGAGGAGGGACAGAGGGAAAGAGAGCAAGAGAGAGAGTGAGAGAGAGAGAGAGAGAGAGAGAGAGAGAGAGAGAATCCCAAGCAGGCTCCACAGTCAGCATGGAGTCTGACATGGGGCTTGATCCCACAACCCTGGGATCATGACCTGAGCCAAAATCAAGAGTCAGACACTCAACTGACTGAGCCACCCATGCACCCCTAAACCATATTTAAAAAATTATATGATCAAAAATTAAATTCCCCATTATTCCATTTTACTTGTAATACTGCAGATTTTTGGCCCTTGTCACTGTATAATATAAACTATGCCTTTTTATAATGGATGTATAAATGTCAGTGGGTAGTTACTCTCTCATTCTACTGAAAACTAAAGATAAACATCCCAAATAAATAAAAGCTCTTCACTGACAGGAACAGATTGAGGTAGGGCCCTAGTATTAGCTTTGCAATACTATAGAATCAATCAATCCCTTCATCAGTAAAAATAGAACAGATGATGTCGTGTATGTGCATATAAATATGTTATATTCTTATTGATTGATTAATTGATTCTACAGTATTGCAAAGCTATACACACACACACACAAATGCACACACACCCTCTTACCCCAAAGGAAAAAAAAAACCAAGACAACTCAGATTTTGTTTTTAGAGGTAGGGACTGCTGGTTTTTTTTTTTTTAAATGTTTTATTTATTTTTGAGAGAGAGAGAGAGAGAGAGCAAGCAGGTGAGGGGCAGAGAGAAAAAGGGACAGAGGATCCAAAGCAGGCTCCGTGCTGACAGCAGTGAGCCCGATGCAGGGCTCGAACCCACAAACTGTGAGATCATGACCTGAGCTGAAGTCAGGCTCAACCGACTGAGCCACCCAGGCATCCCTGGACTGGTTTTTTGAAAAAGGTTGAATCAAGTAGAGAATCTTAAAACATGATATTTTATAGATATAAATTAAATTAGATATATATCTTATTAACACAATTAATTTGATTAAGGTAAGTAATATATATCTTATATAATTTTACCTTAAAATAAAAAAAAATGTGCATTCATTTGCCATTTGTCATCTGGCTCATAGGGCCAAGGTGTTTTCCTTAAATATGGGTTTGCTGGTTTGAGTTCTAGCCTGTCTGCATCCATAGTG